ATCAAAGACAAGCATGAATTTTAATGGCCCTAATATGAATCCTAAAAATTTCAGAAACTTCAATCTTAAAATTCTCTAAGCTCAAACAAAATTAATTAAAAATATGGACATGGTTAGCTTTAGGGCAATGATATCTACATTTTTTATTCACAAATAAACCATTAATGATGCATGTATGAAAAGTTCCAAAGTCAGAAAACTTACCTTGCAAGAGGGTATCGGGTTTGGAGTTTGAGTAGATTTTAGTGAGTTCCAATGATTTGATTAGCTTCCTCAAGTTCCCAGGAAGCTAATGGGATGCTTAGCTTGAGCTGAAAGTGCCTGAGGAGTTCTGGAGAAGTTAAGGTGCAAGGTGTTGTTTTTGAAAATGGTGGATGATGATGGGACTATTATAGTGGTGCTGCAGGTGTTGGGATTGTTTGTATATATTGTTTAGAAGCTTCTGAAAGTAAAATGCCAAGAAAAGCACGAGCAAATTTGGAGATTGGATTTAAAACTCAAAAATGATAAGTTTTGAAGTGTTTTTGGTGATTCTATATTCTAGGTGTTTTCAAGGCTTAAGCATGTGTGGGATTTGTGGAAAATGGCTTATGTATTATAAGCAAAGAGGTTTGAGTTCTTTGGAAAGTCAGAAGTACAAGTTACAAGCTATTTGTTATGTTACTTGATTTTCAAGAAAAGTGGGAAAACAAGTTTCAAGGGGAAGTACAAGCATGGGCTAAGTGATTGTAAGTGTCTAACAAGTTTCTTATGAATTATGGGACTTGTAAGATCAGAAGAGAACAAGTGCAAGGCTCAAGAACAAGTTTTTGTGCAAAAAGTCACTTTATCAAAATGGCAATGTGCACTTTCTTCCCAAAATGGATACAAAGCATGGCCTTGCATTGAATGCTTGAAATGAGACCTCTAACAGTTGTGCAAGAAATTAATTATGGAGTGCCTAACAAGTTTATGCCTGCAAAGTAATGTTTATGCAGCACAAGTTTGAATTTTGAATTTGTTCATCACAAAATGACTTGTAATTCAAGTGATAAAACCCTAACTTCATCTCTTCGATTCTCCCTACTCAAAAATGATCTCAAGGAGTTCTGGGACATTTTTCAAAGCTTGTAATGTGCTCTACAACCCATATTTGAATCACTTTTCAAAATTCCCCTTGGAACTATATGAAAAAGTCCCATGAAGTTGGGTCAAAATCCTGACCAAATTAGGGCAAAATTTCACTAAGTGTTTTGTTTCATGACCATGTGTTCTTAAAATTATAACTTGAGATACAAGCACTTTTGGAAGGAGTTGTGTAAAGAAATGTTGTATGTTTCAAAGTGATATACAACTTTCATGTTGGAAGTTTCTTTTGAATCATCTTGCATCATGGTGAAAATTTTGCTCAAAGTTTTGAAAAAATAAGAAATTTCCAACACTTAGAAAAATTTCTATGTTTAGAAATTTTAACTTTTTAAAATGAAATCTTGAAATTTTGATTTCTTGATGAATAAGTTTCATATTTTGACATTCTTTGATGAATTGTGATCTTTGGCATTTGATTTTGACCAAAAGAGTCAAAGTTTGACTTTTCGGTATACAGTTGACTTTTGATTAGTTGATTGAAAATTCATCTGTCAATCCTTTGAACTTGAGCATTTTTTGAGCCATGTCATTAGGTCAAAATGATGCAATTGGACTATTGAGGTCATGCCTTAAACCAATTGATATTTTCTAGGTCAAAAATCAGAAATTTCCCTTTCCCAATCAAAACCCTAATTTTGACCATTTTGCCCTTTTGAAGATCTGATCAAATTTCTTGAGGAATCATGGTCCAAACTTGATCAAATGATATATATGAGTTTTAAATGTTTATGTGGATCAAAAATTATGAAGTTTGACTGTAAATTGGTCATGGTTGACTTTTCCCCCAATATAGTTGATTTTTAGGTCAACTACTCAATTGACTGAGCAAAAGTGTGATCTAAAGCTTGAAACTTGACATGAGTAATCTTGAGGGTCCATAATGATCCATGAAAGTCATATGGGGCATTGGAAGTTCAAATGTCATTGTGCAATCTCAAACCCTAATTTTGGTCATTAGTGCTTAAGGAGATATCTTGAGCTGATTAACCTTAGTGCACTCTTGAGCAAATTCTTGATAAATGAGAGGGAAAATTTTAGGGTACAACACTTATCATTTCATCCATCTGACGAAATCCAACAACATGGGTCGAGCATACCTTAAAAGGCCCAATTACGCATCTGCATTTCAAAATCCAACATCCATTCACACATTATCCAAGTCATTCATCACATACATCAATCAGTCATCACATCATATACATCAATCAATCATTACATATCATACATCGCATATGGAATTCCTCGAAACCCACTACAAGTAGGGCCAATATTTTAGGGCCCTCTATTAGTTCTTACCTCGGTTAGAAACAAATAACTAGTAAAATTTGTTCTCATCTTTAATTTTGTTATCTAAGATGTGGATCATTCAAAACAACTTCCTATATATTCAACACATTGTGTCAGTCTCTATGCGACAATGTGTGAAATTATCTATATTTAACTTATTGTGTCAGTCTCCACACAGAAATATGTTATTCCTTTACGATCTAACTCATTGCGTCAAACCCTAGGCAGCAATGTTGCAAAATCAACAATTACACCCATTATGTTAGTCTCTATGTGAAAATGTGTGAAATTTTCTATATTTAACTTATTGCGTCAGTCTCCACGGAGCAATATGTTCTTTCTTTGCGATCTAGCTCATTGTGTCAGACCGTAGACAACAATGTTGTGAAACTAGCAATTACACACATTGTGCCAGTCTCTATGCGATAATGTGCGAAATTTTCTATATTTAACTTATTGTGTCAGTCTCCATGTAACCATATGTTCTTTCTTTGTGATTCAGCCCATTCTGTCAGACTCCATGCAGCAATGTTGTGAAATCAACAATTCCACTCATTATGTCAGTATCTATGCGACAATATGCGAAATCAATAGTTTGACCCATTGCATCAGTCTCTATGCAGCAATGTATGAAATCTGTAGTTTAATCCATTGCATCAGTCTCCATGCAGAAGTGTGTTTCCTAATATATAATATGATCTATTGTGTCAGTCTCCATGCAACAATATGTTATTTCTTTGCGATCTAGCTCATTGTGTCAGACTCCCGGCAGCAAAGTTGCGAGATCAACAATTTCGGCTTATTGTGTCAATCTCTATGTGACATTGTATGAAATCTACAATTTAACTTATTGTGTCAGTTTCCACACAACAATATGTTCTTTCTTCATGATCTAGATCATTGTGTCAGAGTCCAGGCAACAATGTTACGAGATCCTCTATTTTAGCTCATTGTGTCAGTCTCTATGTGACAATGTGTGAAATCTAGAATTTAACTTATTGTGTCAGACTCCAGGCAGTAATGTGTTTTCTCCTTCGCGATTTTGCTCATCGTGTCAGACTCCATGCAACAATGTGTGAAACCTGTAATTCAACCCATCGCGTTAGTCTCCATGCAACGATGTTATTATCAAACTTTTTTTATTGCATCAGACTCCATGCAACAATGCTATTATTAGAATTTTTCCATTTCATCAGTCTCCATGCAGTAATGTTGTTATCAAACTTTTTTTGCGATATAATCCATTGCATCAATCTCCAAGAAGAAATGTCATTATCAAGTTTCTTCCTTGATATAACTCATTGCCTCAGTCTCCATGCAACAATGTTCTTATCAAGCTCTTTTCAATAATCTATCCTCTAGGTTGTGATAAATATGTGAAAAAACCTGCATAACCCATTGCATCAGTCTCCATGCAACAATGTTTGAAATCTACAACATAACTCACTGTGCCAGTCTCCATACAACGATGTTGTCATGAAGCTCTTTTTCAAATATCTATCCCTTAGGTTACGATAGATATGTGAATAAACCTGCCTAATTCATTGCATCAGTCTCCAGGCAGCAATGTGTTATCATAATTTGTTTTATCCACACCCTAGGTTGTGATGAATAAACAAAATCTAACCAAACCAAAATCTACTATATTAGTCTCCAAGCGTTAGTAGGTTAACTTTTCAAGCTTGTATCATTTTACATCATAGGTTACGGTAAATATGCAAAATTCTACAATCTCTTTTAGATATTGACGGGATACTCGCGTCGTCATATCTAAGTCAAATAGAGGCAGTTGTCATGTCCTAAATTTGTCCGCCTCATTTTTGTAACTTGGGTTCATAAATTTTTTAGGTATTACTAACATTTTGGGTTTAATTTTTTTTAAGACTATTTAAAAATATAATAATTTATTTCAAATTATTTGTATTTTTAAATAGCAAATACATGCTCACCTTTCATATGTTTTAAAATTTCCTTTTTCATGTCGAATGAAATGACATATCACAATTGGTAAAGAAGTGAGCCTGCAGATACAAGATCTCGGGTTCGAATCTCACTTGGTGCATTTTTTTGATATGTTTGGTTTATTATCACTAATTTTATTTCATCATAAAAAAAGAAATATTTTTTATTATTTAAATAATAATTTCTTATTTTTATTATGGTATTTTTAAAAATTATAATAAATATAAAAATAATATTTCCTTTTTTAAATAGGTGTTTCTTATTGGCCATTTGATGTCAATTTGTGTCACACTTAATTTTTGATTGGTCAGGTTTTAATTCCAATTTGATGGTTTTTTAATCTATAAATAGGACATGTTTTTCACACTTCTAGATCATCCACAACTCATCAACAATTTCACAGTTTCACTTTCTTCTCAAAGTTTCTACTTGAGTTTTTCTTGGCCGATGATTTCATATGAGGCCTCCAAGTTATTTTTCAACTTTATCCTTTTTAATTTAAGTTTGTTTGCTTTTATTTCAACCATATGATGTCAAACTGATGGTATTTTTATTTTTGAATTATATTTTATAATAATCACATTATCACAATCCACTTTGTACATATACACTAACACTCACTCATGGTACAAAATCACATAACCTTCTTACGCTGCATATTCAACTTCTATCACAAATTTCTCACTATTACACATACACACCCAATTTCTAACATCTTTTTGTTTCTTATTGAAAACTTTATTTTCATAAACCCTTTAGTACATAACTACACATATTATACTAACAAGCCAATACTTTTATACATCATCAAAAACCAGATAAAAATAAGGCCTCATGCAAATCCTTATCTTTCCACTTACAAAAGTCAACCTAATCATCTTCCACGTTTTTTTATAGAAAAAACTCAACATACACTAGTCATGGTTGTCATATCCATGTTATTCATTTATAATTTCAAATCATGTTGGCCATTCAATCATAAATTATTTAAACAATAATCTTGGAAGAAGAGATTCAAAACATGAAAAAATTTGTTGTGTTGTTATCTCTGTTTGTGTTGTAGGACAAAGAAAACAAGGAATCCAGAAGTTCAAAACATCGCCATCCCACTGACTGAAATAACTCCAAACACCCTCCGAACACCTTACAACATCCCCACACCATCACACCACCACTGAAATCTCAGACCACCACAAGCCAACTTCGGTCGCCCTCACTAAGTAACGATTGTAACCGCAGAGCACCCTTTATCTCTGTCAAAGACCGACGCACCGACAATTATCTCAGGTACCATCATTTATTCTTCTGGATCTTTATTTGATTTGAATAATTGTTTGAGGATTATTGTGAATTAAAAAAGAAGATTTTGTTTGAAAAGAAAGAAGAAGAAAGAAATTGTAATGAGGGCAAGAGATATATTGTGTGTGCGTTTTTTTTTGTTTTTTTTTTCTATAATGTTTATACTATTTATTTTTATTTATTTATTTATTTAATCCTCCAAGTGTCAAGATATGGTTGGTTAGGGTCAAAACTAAAAAAAAATGTAAATATAATAATAACAGAAGGGGAGCGAATGATGTTGTTGGATTTGGTTAAATTTAAATGTTATTTTATTATAGAAATTTTTAGAGGAAATAATCAAACATTTCTCCTTTTTTATTTATTTTATTTTTAATATAAATTGGATAATGGAAGATATGCATGGCTCCCTCCACGTACAACATCTTTTATTTTATTTTATTTTTCTCTGTTATATTTTAATTTTTGATTTATTTTTTATTTTCTCATTTATTTTAAGAAAGTTAAGAAGGTTTTTTAGAGTTTTGTTTTTACTTCTTGGGCCTGGGGTCTCATGGACTGACAACCCCCCCCCCCCCCCCCCCCCCCCCCCCCCCCCCCCCCCCCCCCTCTCCCATTTTTAGTTATTTATATCTATTTAGTTTTAGCAAATTTTATTTATTTAGATAAATATATAAAAAACATTAGATACAAAATATATAATTTTAGTTAACTTAGGTTAATATTAGGTCACTTAGCTTTATAATTAATCAGTAAAAATATCAAATAATAATAAAAATTATTTTCCATAATCAAACACTTTATATTTATAAATTAATTAATTCAATAATTTACAAAAATATTAAAAAATCATGCAATTCACCAGTGTGTTGGAAGCTCCATCAAAAATCATAGTCCATCAGCATCCTTTCTTAGGTCGTTCATATAGTCTAGGCTTTTCACAATCTATAATCAGCATGATATTCTCGTCCTGGAATTCAAAGTTCATAGATTGGTAGTCATCCACACCTTGATTCGCCAAATGGCCTGCCAACACACTTCCTTTGATTTCTTTTTGTATAGTGTACTGGATATCATATTCAATTAAGATCATTTGCCATCAGGCTATCCTTCCGGAGAGAGTTGGTTTCTCAAAGATGTACTTGATGGGATCCATCTTAGAGATTAATAGAGTAGTATGAGTCAACATATACTGTCTTAGTCGGCGAGCAGCCCATGCCAAAACGCAGTAAGTTTTCTAGAGTAGTGAATATCTTGTTTCACAGTCAGTAAACTTTTTACTAAGGTAGTATATTGCATGCTATTTTCGTCCATACTCATCATGTTGCCACGGCCCACGTCCTATTGAATTCCCTAACACTGTTAAGTACATGATCAGAAGTCTTCCTTCAACTGGTGGCATCAGGATTAGAGGTTCTTCAATATACTCTTTGATCTTGTCAAAAGCTATTTGACAATCGTCATTCCATTTTACTACTTGATCTTTCTTCAGCAGCTTGAAGAGTGGCTCGTAAGTAGCAGTCAAGTGAGAAATGAATCGAGCAATATAGTTGAGTCGTCCTAAGAAAACTCTGACCTCCTTCTCGGTACGAGGAGATGGAATTTCTTGGATAGCTTTGACTTTTGCAGGATCGACTTAAATTTCTTTGCCACTAACGACGAAACCTATGAGTTTTCAAGACCTCACCCCGAAGGTGCATTTGCTTGGATTCAACCTCAACTTGTATTTCTTCAGCCTGTCAAATAGTTTCTGCAAATGAACAACGTGCTCTTCCTCAGTTTGCGACCTGGCTATCATGTCATCCGCATAGGCTTATATCTCATGATGAACCATGTCATGAAATATAGATACCATAGCTCGTTGATAATCGCGACTGTGTTCTTCAGCCCAAAAGGCATGACCTTATAACCGAAGGTGCCCCACTGTGTGACAAAAGTGGTTTTCCTCCGTGTCTTCAGGCGAATACCATGAAGGAGAATACCTTATATTGCACAGTGTTGTCAACCAAGACATCAATATATGGTAGGAAATCATCTTTGTGGCTCACCCTATTTAATACATCATCATGCATGCACACATACAAACCTTAGCATCTTTCTTAGGCACTGGAACAACATTTCCAACCCATTGGGGATACGACGTCACTTGCCAAGAAACCTGTGTTGAATAGTTATTCTCACCTCAACCTGATTTTCTCTGTCATATTAGGATGCATGCGATGAACTTTTTGTTTGATCGGAGAACTTCCCTCTTTCATTTTCAGACAATGAACCACGATTATCAGTATCGAGCCCCGATATGTCTTGTATGACCAAGCAAAGACCTTAACATATTCGTGCAACATCTGAACCAATCTGCTCTTGACATTGTCTTCTAGGTTGGCACTAATCTTGACTTCTTCCTTATCTGCCTCGTAACCCAAGTTTATCACTTCGACCAGTTCTTCGTGCGATTGGATAGCCTTTTCCTCTTGTATCAGGAGTTTGGCGAGTTCTCCAGATATCTCACAATCTTCTTCACCTTCGTCTTCAGCTTGATAGATTGGATTTTCGAAGTCATAAATGACAATAGCATAATTATTGTCAATGAGATCCAGAGTGGATGTGGATATGCAATGTGTATGTGTGCATATAAGGTCACATGGGTATTTGAAAATTTAGTAAAGTAAAAGAAAGACAAGGAGCTCAAAATTTGAATGCAAAATCGTCCAATTTTTTCATTAAATGAGCATATAATATATGAAATGAAAACCCTTAATAAATGGACCATTGTGCATCTGGAAAGGCACAAGGTTTAAAGTCATTGTTTTAAAAGAGATTACAGAAGAATTTCTTAAAGCAATAAAAATAGGATATAACAATTACTCTTGGCTGAAGGAGATTGAGATGAAGTCTTTAGCCATCCAGTTGTTGAGTCCCACCGTTAGTAGTTGGGAATATCCAGTCGTCCAAGTCACCATCACTATCAGTGTCTCCCAATGCATTGACTTCATTATTGCTAATATGGAGAGGTTCCCCCCAACACGAACACGTCTAACCTCTTTTTGAGCTTTTGAAGTGAAACCCAATCCAAATTTGTTGGATTTGTAGGGAATATCAAGAAGTTGTCCCCAGGTAGTGCAACCTCCATCTTTTACAACAGCTCGAGCATCCTCAGGGAGGCCATTTTGGGAGTGTGCTTGGAGATCTCAGGAATAGTAGCTTTAGAAACAAAAATCGTTGGAGGAATTACTTCAAAGGCTTGGCAGGGGGTTTCAATGAATTCACCATCCATTTCAACATATTTAAAAGAATTCAAACGACTGACCATATATTCTTCCTCTCTGCAGACTGTGACTATCTTCCCTTTCACTGGGTACTTCAGCTTTTGATACAATTTAGAGGTAACCGCACCTTCCCCATGAATCCATGGGTGTTGTACCCCAAAATTTGCCCTCCCATATTCTTCAAAATTTGCCAAGTCAAAGCTTCAAAGTTCCCCAAGGGTTGCACAGTTTAAGGGCCTCCTAACAGTCAAAAATTAGGGTTTTGGTTCTGACAAAGAAAGTGAAGTTTCCAAGGGTCCAATCAAGTCTCACATGCCTATAAACATGGTCAAGCATCCTCATACCAAGTTTCAAGACTTACAGCACAAAATTGCACAGTCAAAAACCCTAATTGCACTACAGTCAACTGTAGGGGCAAAATGGTCATTTGACAGTCAAAAGTTCAAATTTTTGGTCAACATCTCATTTTTAGGCCACAAACATCATTTTATCAATTCTTGATCATGATTCTCAAAGCATGGCTCAAAAAGTCCCAAGATGCAAAAGTTTCCATATTTGGACAGTTGAAAAAGTCAACTGTAATTTGACCAAGGCATAACTTCCACATGAATTATCATAAAAATTCCATCCAAAGCTCATTTTGAAGAGAATGACATTTCCTACAACTCCTCTTCACACTTCAAGTCCAAGAAATGCTCTCACAAAAAGTTATCAATTTCAACATTATAGGTCATTTTCAAAAGTCAACAAAAAGGGACTTTAAGTCAAAGACCATAACCTGAGATTGGTAAATCAAAATTACATAGGACCAAAGGCATTGGTTAGAGGACTTCAAGACCTTTCCAAAATGTCCAAGAACATGATCAAAGCTCAAAAATTGAGCAAGATATGCCTTGTGGAAGTTGGGAAATTTTTGGGTATTTTGAAAAGTCAACTTTGCTTCAAATGCCTTAAAATTGCTAATGGGCCTCTTTTTCTTCCAAGAATCATCATCCAAAGCATGTGCACGACCATTTGGCCCAAAGGGAATTTATTCATCATTTTTATTTATTTATTTGAATTTTAATTACAATTAATTCATTTAAACTAAATAAAATATGTGAAAAATACCAAGGCAAGCTTTTCAAATCTTTTTATGCATGAAATATCCTCAAGATCTCGTGAATTATCAGATATGGAAAGAATCAAGTGATTTGGACATGATTGGTATCAAATATGCATGGAAAAGATTGAAAAATATATGCATAAAAATCAAATATCTTGTACATCAATGCAAAGGGTTTTGGATCCAATTTTCAACCCTAATCAGTTCCAATACTTATACTAATGCAAACCCTAGTGCAAAGAACCTCAAGGCTGCGCCAGAAAACAAGAACAAAGTTTGCACTTTTTGTGAAAAATTCCAAAACTGAAAACGTGGTTCCAAAGCATTT